TACACTCGATAGTAAGATTCAATGTGGATTAAACTAAATACAGTTGTCCCTCGTTATTCATGGCAGTTACATTCTAAAAGTAACCCACAATAGGCGAAGTAATCTGCTTTAGTTTATTACAATTATATTCTAGATGTTTTAAGGCAGTAAAACCCCTCACTACAAACTTTATACACTTTTCTCAGACAGGCATAAACATTTTCAGAAAGCTGAACGCATTCTGTACTGTACAGGAGACACAGCACAGAGGAAATTGATTGACAATGGTCTACAGCCAATCAGAACACAGAACACAATGTGCTGTAGGAAAAAAGCATGTTAAATTGGACCGCGTTATAGCAAGGGACCACTGTACCGCTTTTGGGCAGTCAAAATTGCATTACATTGGACTTTATTTTTGTGGTGTATGTAAACTCGACTGGTTAAAGTGGTTGTTTGCCCAAAAATTCATTCATTCATTCATTTTCTTGTCAGCTTAGTCCCTTTATTAACCTGGGGTCGCCACAGCGGAATGAACCACCAACAGCAAGTTTTTACAAAGCGGATGCCCTTCCGGCCACAACCCATCTCTGGGAAACATCTACACACTCATAAGCTACGGACAATTTAGCCTACCCAATTCACCTGTACCACATGTCTTTGGACTGTGGGGGAAACTGGAGCACCCAGAGGAAACCCACGCGAAGGCAGGGAGAACATGCAAACTCCACACTGAAACGCCAACTGAACGGGGTTCGAACCAGCAACCTTCTTGCTGTGAGGCGACAGCACTACCTACTGCGCCACTGCCTCACCCAAAAATTAACATCTAAAATAGCCATTTACTAAATTTTTCCAAACCTTTCTGATTTTCCAACTTGATCTTACTGCAATTTGTAGCTTTATGACTTAGTAGTTAGTTCGTATGAATTCGTATGATCTCATTCATATAATTTTGTACAATTTGCTTATCGCCAAATGACAGTTGGGTTTAAGGGCGACATTATGTGCCACACCTCCTTTTTAAAATCATACATTTTCGTAAGACTGAACTTAGGGGCTGTGCAATTAATCGGAATCAAATCTCAATTTTAAACGTTGCAATTTCTGTAGTTAACCGCAAGAGGCAGCGTTATGGAATATATATGTATTATTTATTTCCCCCACCCAGAGCAAATGCATGACTGCCAACTGTGTATGACTTTATTAGCCAATTGAGTGGGCACACTTTCATTCTGCCCAATCAGAACTTTTCATTCTGCCTCTTATTAGCTATGTTAATTTGCTGAGTGTTCTGTATTTTTATAATCATATATTTTTTTTTTTTTTGTATAATAAGCTACATTATCTCCCTAATTTGAGTTGAACTTGTTTACAGAAAGGTAAGCTCATTTTATGTGTACTAGAGAAAAATTTATGAAATTTCTGGATATATTACATTTACATTTACATTTAGTCATTTAGCAGACGCTTTTATCCAAAGCGACTTACAAATGAGGACAAGGAAGCAATTTACACAACCAAGAGCAACAATGAATAAGTGCTATAAGCAAGTTTCAGGTCTGTAAAGTCTAAGAAGGGAAGTATTAGTAGTATTAGTATTTTTTTTTTTTTTTTTTTTTTTTTTTTTGTACAGTTAGTGTGATATTCAGAGAGGCAATTACAGATTAGGAAGTGTAGTGGAGAATTAAAAAAAAAAATTTGAATAAATGTTTTTAGTTTCCATTTTTTTTTACTAACACTCACTGCATTTTAGCAGTAAAAAGCTATGATACAGATTATTGAGCTGAATCTTAGCTACAAAATTAAATCGCAAATCAAATCACAATCCCAACATCTCTCAAAAAAACTGCAATTAGGTATTTTTCCCAAATCGCACAGGTCTAACTGAAATTGTACGAATTCATACGAATTAGCCACTACACTGACAAAGCGTAAAATAGTTATGTGTCCTCATGAGATCAGGCTGGATTTTCTGTTATCTGCTGAACACAAAAGAAGATATTATGAAAAATCATTGGTTAACAAATAACCATTGACATCCATAGTAGGAATAACTACTATGCAAATCAATGATTAACAGTTTTCAGCGTCCTACAAAAAATCTTCTTTTGCGTTCAGTTGAAGAAAATCATCTCAAACAGGTTTGGTAGAAGTTAGCAGACTAAGTAAATGATTTTTGGGTGAACTTTTCCTTTAAATGCTGTGGGATAACGTAGCAAAATCATGGATTCATATTTCACTTTGTTATACCAAAACAAATTACAGCCAAAATCATAGCTGCATCCTTTTCATTTGCCTGTTTTCCCACAAGCTGTGTCAAAATAGCACGCACAAAAGGCATATCAGAACACATATTAGTGCCAGGTGGAAGCACGTCTCAGCTGACCACTTGTGATCAGATCACTGAAAACACATGTTTATACCAAGTGGAAACAGGGCCTAGATGTAGGTCTGTGCACCACAGTAAGTCTGACCTGAACAGAAAAATATCAAGGGGACACAGTCACCAAAAAATTCAGATCCAAACAGTTGATTGTTTACTCTCCCTCATGTTATTATACATTTGCATGACTTTTCCCTGCTCTGTGGAACACAAAGGAGTTTTTTTATTTAGTTAGAAAGTTTAAACTGCAGTTTTTCATACAGTAAAGATGAATGAGTCACATGAACTACTTTTATGATCTTAATGGAATGTTTTTTTTTCTTTTTTTTTTGTAGGTTGACAGTTCCTTCTTACCATCTATTTTCATACATATCAAAAGACATGATTGTAAGTAATCTTTTTTATGTGTTGCTCCTTTGAGGAACAACTAAGGGAACTTGTGATTCCATTATTGGAACTATTTGCCAATGCCATAAATTCCTATATGTCACATTCAGAATATGATTAATCATTCATCAATATAATCACTGTTATATTTTTCTTCTGCGTATGTTATGAATGCATAAACACCTTGTTTTTTGACTTGGTTAACATGCTTTGACTTGGATCATACTGGATACTTGTGCATTGTTAAATAATATTAAGTAAAGGGGTGGTCCAGAGTGTATTTTTAAGGCTTGATTTTGTTTATAAGATGCATAGCAATGTGTGATCATGGTTCACTTGTAAAAAAAAATCACATGATTTTTTCATATATCTTATTTTTATTATATACAGCTACTCAGCTAACATGAAAGCGACTGACATATTTACTTGTTCCTCTGTAAGGCCCGCCCTCAAGAGGCTCTGATTGATCAGCTAACATAATGTGAATCACGGATCAGTTCCACATCACCAGGAAAAGCGTCACGCCTCCATAAGCACATGCTTTTGCGCTGTGTAAATACTGTCAGTCAGTTTAGCCGTTAGCCAAATCAGTTTGGGCCTGAATCAGACAGAAAATGAAAAGGACACAGCTAAAGCTCACTCCTGCTATCTAAAATAACATCTGACAAGTGTCTTTTATTAGTAATAAGCATGTGTAAGTAATATAAAAGTTCACATATCTTTTGCGAGTTCGTTATTTGGGATGTAGACTGCAGGGAAAGCAGCCACATAGAGAGACACTGCAGTGCTGCTGAAGATTGTGGGTGTTTACAGCGGTTTGATTGATAAATATTAATTTGTAGCTAAATTGTTAGTGGTGCCAAACAGCATTTCCCGTTGTTTACATCCTTGCTACAATATGCCGTAACGCTAGACACTGTGCATGTAATAGATCAATTTTAACATATAAAAATACTCACAGGTTGTGGCTCACAATCCACATCTTCTGCTATTATGTTTGGAGCTGCTCCTTTGAAAAGTTTTTAAACTAATACAGCCCTGAACTGGGAGAGATTCTGGAAGCTGTCCTTTGTCAAATGCTAGCTATATATTTTATAATTATCTGGAAGATAATTAAAATTAAACTGTAAGCACATCTCTCTTTGTGTTGTGTCCTTTGGAAGCCCAAATACAGAAACAGAAGAAGCTCTGTGGAAATAGTAGTGTTTAGACGGCATTTTAGCTTTCTCTGCTGTAACATTACATCACTTCTGGCCACGCCCTTTTGCTATGCGAGGTGTATACGCGTGGTGAATGTGTGTAACCTGAAGCTTTTGTCATCTCACTAACCCGGATGTATTTTTTGTAGTCCCCAAACTTCATTCGCTGTAGGCTTTGCCAAGCTAACTCTGTAGAAGCTAATGTCTCCCTTAGCATGGAACTTTAAGCATCTTACATTCAGAGATGTTGTTTATCTTCACACCGCTACATTACACATCACCTAAAGTTTAAAATATGATATCATAGCGGAACACCCCCTTTAAGTAAGTCTATCTGCATATACTGAATATTATCAACAAACATTTTATGGTCACACTTTACAATAATATCCGTTAGGTAATATCTTTACTAACATTTAATAAGAATGAACAATACTTTTACAGTATTTATTAATCATAGTTCAACATGTACAAATTTATTATTAAAATCCAAAGTTTTAGTTAATCCAAAGTTAATTTAGTTAATGAGTTAACAAGAACAAGCAATGAATGACTTTATTTTCAGAACTAAGGGTAAGAAATAAGAATAAAAACTGTAACAAATAAATGTGTTGTCTGTTAATTGTTCGTGTAAATAAATAAATCACCAAACTCATGGAACCTTATTGTAAAGTGTTACCTTTATTGTTATTATTAATTATGTTCTGTATAGTTTGAATGTGAAACCTGTTCAGTTTGAGAGAATCATTTCTAAATAATACTAGATTTCTTTTAATGCTCTGAGGTCAGTCAAAGCCATGCTGTTTTATAATGTTTAAAGTAGCATGGATTGAATTTCCATTTTTGTTTGTGGTTTTCTGGGAGCATGTCACACAACCTATCCATGCCTTTAGGCAACTAAAGACACATTACTCGCTTTTCAACACACACATATTGAAAGTGGTAACGAATATCACTGGAAGACTGAGCCACACGCAGCATCCCATTAATCAAATGATGATAACGTGGAGAAAAGCAACAGCAATAAATAAAAAATGTCTAAAACGAACCTCTTTTTCAGAAATTAAGAGTTGGTCTCCTTTCAATATAACAAATCGGTTTTTCCAAATTTCCCTGAAAATTCCTTTGCCACAGAACTTGCGGATCCAGCCAGTTTTGTCGGGCTGCACAGGCTGTTGATTGGCATCCTGAGGGCCCTAGAGAGAGAAAATACAGACATGCCAATGAGACTTCACCTTAGCAGTGAGTTATGATGTAATTGTATGTTTCCAAGCATTTTTTGGGTCTATGATGCTCAATATGCAGCTTGAAAAGGCTGTTGACTAGGTTTGATACATAATCTCTAAAATAGGGGGAGCCTCTCTTAAAGACAATATCTTTGTCATGTAGATCATATCACATTCCTGCTGCCTAGTCAGATTTCTCACACAGGACAAACACTACACACATCAGTGTTTCCTCAGGGGTTTGTTTATTACCAGGGTTGAGATCTTGCAGTCTGAGTGTGATAAGCTAAAAGGCTGTGTACATAGAAAATAGTGAAAAAAGACCAAAATTTCTTTCTGATAAGTCTTTATTGTGTAAAAGACATTTAACTGCTCATTTATATGCATGTAATTCTGCACGTATGCACTTTTCGGCTGCTGGAAATTTATTGAAGGTGTCATTTATTATGCTTTTAGCCATTTTGGACAGTAATTTAATCATCTCATTAATAGTGCATGTTAATAGTGCAGTTTGTCGTAGTAGAGGATTAGCATTTTCAAACCATGGGTTCCCTTGGGAATTTCCCTTTGGTTTTTAGAACGAATGTTTTAAATGAATTAATCATTCATATTTGTTTAGGTGGGGTAGCGTTTAGTTTTTATATATCAATGCATGTTTTTTTACTATAGCAAAATGCCTGTCTTACACAGATCTCTGTAATATTGCCCTGATGATGACAGCTTCAGTTGTTTCCTGAATATAGTAAGATCAGTATAGTAAGATCACTTTAGTCAAGTAAATGAGCTGAGTTTAACATACAGTATAACCAATGTAAACCTATATTAGCAACATTAAACGTCTGAAACGTGTAGGAAAAAACGTATTTATTAAATCTATGTGAAATCTTCCATATATTTAAAATGTCATATAATATATTTTAAACCCAAGTAAAATATTTTAAAAAACCAACTCTTTCAGAAAAAATCGTACAGAGCCAATCTGGATTAAATCAATGCAGCTTTTGTGAGCAGAAGAGACTTTTAACAAATCTTAATGCTTCTTAACTTTTGACCAGAGCTTTATACATAATAAACAGCATACTAAATAACCTAAAATTAATATCTATATTATGCCTTTCTTACACAGATTACTGTAATATTGTCCTCTAGATGACAGCTTCAGTTGGTTCCTGACTATGATCAGTTTCAAATTTAAGCTTGTTTCTAACCTTAATTTTTCCAAATGTTTGACCAGTAGCGTATATGATCAAAATTATACAGTAAATAAGCTGCATTTACCATATAACCAATGTAAAACTATATTAGCAACATTTAAAGGCTAAAATGTGTAATTAAAAATGAATTTATTAAATCTGAGTGAAATTTTCCATAGATTTAAAATGCTAGTTAATATCTTTTAAATCTAAGTAAAACATATTAAAAACCAACTTTGTCAGAAATAATCGTAAACAGCAGTTCTGTATTACATAACTGCACCTTTTGTGAGCAGAAAATGCTTTTAACAAATCGTAATTCTTCCAAAGTTTTGACCAGCGATTTATACATAATAAACAGCATACTAAATAATCCAAATTAATATCCATATTTACTAACTTGGTAGGCTGTTAAATACAACCAGTGAATAACTATATTTTAGATTTGTATATTTAAAAACAAATAGGCCAGTTTTTACATTTTTTTCAATTCTTTAAAGTTTTTCAATTCTTTTTGGTTTTTAGAATGTATGTGTTCAATTAATATATATATGTATGTATGTGTGTGTGTATATTTTTTTAACAGTATATATATATATATATATGATAAAAAAAAAAAAAAAATATATATATATATATATATATATATATATATATATATTTATATATATATATATATATATATATATATATATATATATATATATATATATATTAAATAAGCTGAATTTAACATATAATCAATGTAAAACTATATTAGCAACATTTAAAGTCTGACATGTTCAGTTAAAAATGAATTTATTAAATCTATGTGAAATCTTCCATACATTTAAAATGCAACTTAATATAATTTAGACTCAAGTAAAATATTTTAAAAACCAACTCTTGCAGAAATAGTCTTAAAGAGCCATTCTGGATTACATAAATGCAGCTTTTGTGAGCAGAAGAGGCTTCTAACAAATCTTAATGCTTCTTAACTTTTGACCAGAGCTTTATACATAATAAACAGCACACTTAAAACCCAAATGTAAAATCTATATTCTAGTAGTAGGCTGCTACACACAACCAGTGTTTATATAACTAACAGTTATATATTGTTAAATTCAAAATACGCAGACAAGTAGGCCAGATTTTATTTTGGTTATTATTATTGTTAATACTATTATTGTGTTATCATTATTCCCATTTGACACATTAACTGTAGTTTAACAACTCATGCTCAGTTTAATAGAATAACGTCAGCATTGCTCTTCCGCTATTCAGTCAACTAACATTACAGTGCGAGAGGATATCGACTTTTACATTTGCAACTACAACAAAAAATTACGTTTTTTTTGGCAAATGTAATTGTAAAACGTTGCTAAAGATAGTTTTAGTATAGTGAAGCAGTATGTATGCTCTGCAGTGGTTCATATACTAGTGCACAAAGGCTCGCGGCGCTCCTCACTGACAATAGAGGGGACTCGGTGTCTTTCTCACCCGCTTTGACGAACTGTTCTTCTTCATGGCTCAATGAAACACCGCTTCCCGGCTCTCTCCCTCCACGAACAATCCAGATACAAAAGAATCCACTGAAAATCCTACACCCGAAAAAGCCACACTCAAAGAAAAGCGCTTTGTTAAATGAGAGTCGCTCCCCGGTTGTTTCTTTACGCCTCCTCCGGTGAATTTACTCCCGTTCAGCGTCCACCGCGCCGGTCACCATTTGCTGGTTATTTCGGACAGACCTCAGAAATGTGCTGGTGAGTGTGTGTTAGTGGCATCCTCGTGCGTTGTTGATCCTCTGCCGTCACGCGTGGAGTTCTGGTTGTAGTTGTGTGAGCTGAGAACTTGAGGATGTGTGGTCCCTCTCTTTGTCCTCCACAGCTCCACCTATGGACACCACAATGATGTCACTGGAAAGACAGAGGGGGGATTTGCTGTACTGAAGGGAATGTGCGAAGTTTTTTTTACAGCCATTTAAGCTTACTTGTTTATTAGCTATTAATGACAGACATGATAATTATTACATACAAACATTGCATAATAATTATTATTATATGCGTGTGTCTGTATATGCATTATTTATGTAGCATATTAATACACGCATGCATATGTCCGAGAAAATTATTAAATAGATAAACTGTAATAAATACTTTAAAATACTGTAATAAATACTGTATAGGCCTATTTTAGTTTTTACTTCAGTTGAGTGAACCATAGTGTGTAGTAATACAGAAGGATGACGAGGCTGTACTAGTGCTGTTAATTACAGAATATTGCATGGCTTTCAGACAATCATATTCAAGAACCAGACAGAACTGTTGTATAATTATATAGATAGATAGATAGATAGATAGATAGATAGACAGACAGACAGACAGACAGACAGACAGACAGACAGACAGACAGACAGACAGACAGACAGACACACACACACACACACACACACATACATACATACAAATTTAACATAAAACATTTAAGTTGTCCCCAAAAGAACCTCCAGAATTATTTTGTTTCAGCTCTTTTTAAATAGTTATTATGAGCAAGCAGCAAATGTAATTATTTGAGTGTATTTATACATGTTATATCTACAAACGCAGGGGGAAAAAAAGTTTGATTTTGGACTAATCGCAATTAATCTTTGCCCACCACTAAAAATACTTTATTTTATATTAAATGATGTAGTTTTTTCAAACCATAGAGTAAAGTGTATTATACTGTATATTAAAGTAGACTGATAAATAGTAAAAAAAAAATACTGTATAGGCCTACTTTAGTTTTTACTACAGTTGATTAAACCATGGTTGATAAAACAGTTGATAAAAGCCAATGTTTTGTATAAAACTACAGTATTGGGTTATATTGCTATATTATAGGGTTATATAGCACTATGTAATATGTGTGTGTGTTTATATATATATTCGTCACTATAAAGGTTAAATTACAGAGCCTACACACAGGAGTAAAAAAAAAAATGCAAATTTAGAAGAAAATATTAAATGGCTTTTAGAGGTTTTTGCATCTAAACTATACTGTATGTGTGTGTATACATACAACGCTCAGTTGGCCTTTCTGTCTGGAGTTTGCATGTTCTCCCTGCGATCGCGTGTGTTTCCTCCGGGTGCTCCGGTTTCCCCCACAGTCCAAAAGCATGCGGTACAGGTGAATTGGGTTGGCTAAATTGTCCGTAGTGTATGAGTGTGTGTGTGGATGTTTCCCAGAGATGGGTTGCTGCTGGAAGGGCATCCGCTGCGTTAAAACTTGCTGAAAAAGTTGGTGGTTCATTCCGCTGTGGCGACCCCAGATTAATAAAGGTACTAAGCAGACAAGAAAATGAATGAAGGAATGAATATATCTGTATACAACAATACAATCAACACAACAAATTAATTCAAGTAATTTACTATAGTATGGCTCAAAAACTATAGTATTTCCTATAAATTACTGTGGTATTTGTTCATATGGGTAGTCCGATATGTGGGTTTAATTGTTGAATTTATTTTTCAGTAAGCGCACATGCACTGTAGAGAGTATACTGGGTTATGTAAGGTAACTGCATGGGTTGGTTTAGGGGTGGGTTGAGGATTAATCCCTAGTTATTTGTAATTACTGTAAGCGCATAACTACATGCAGAACAGGACTGTAAAATACAGTGCTACCAATATTAGCATTAAATAGTGGTGATAACATGTACTTATAAAGTATTATACTGAGTACTAATCAGTATGTCAAAATTTCATTTAATTATTTTATTAGGGCGCAATATTTTCCTGCTGGATTTGTTATAAATCGACATTGGGAAAATGGACAAGACAATGTGGGTTATAAATAGAAACAAAATGTATATTTTATTTCTTTTTAAATTGTCAATCAGTGAAATAGATTCCAAACAGTATATTTAGCATCTAATGTGTAGTGTAGACCACATACTGTTGTAAAATTTAAAACAACTAGTTTATTGGTTTTTAAGTAAGAAGGACTATTTAATTTGACTGAATCAACTTACTGCAATAGTTTTGACAGCCATTGTAATGGTCAGATAAAAGTAGCCTCCAAATGAATTAACTGCAGTGTAATATCATTTATATTACACATTCATTCACTTGTTTTATGTGCATATATTTTGTTTTTTTAAAGCCTTTTGGATATAAAGTAATGAAATAAGCAATTACGGCCTTATTCACGCTTACATCAATAGGGTAAATTAAATTTATTGTTTTTTTTATTTTATACTTTTTTATTTTTATTACTTAGTTTTTATATGCGAATAAAACAACAGGTAAGTTCATTTAAAGGAAGTTCATATAGAAATGGAAATTTTACTCTGCATTGATTTTCACAAATGGCTCCAAACCTTGTAAGTAGTTAAAGTTTAAAGTTTAAATAGTTTTAAAAGTCATGAATATCATTTAATACATCTGATTCAACTTTAGTACATTAGATTTCAATTGACAGTTCTGATGATTTTAATAATCAGGTCGGATATAAAAAGCCACTTTGACAAATGTAATATTTATTTTACCTAATAATATTAGTTTTACTATATAATAATACATGCATTATTTATTTCCACTATATATTCTTTATTTATCTATTAAAGGGAGTTCTAGTAGAAATGTAAATTTTACTCACCATTGATTTTCTCAAATGGCTCCAAACCTTTATGTGTTTCTTTTTTCTGTTGAACACAAAAGAAGATATTTTGAAGAATGTTGGAAACTGGTACCTATTGACATGCTTAGTTGAAAAGAAAAATATATGTATAGCACAATGACCAACCATTTCTCACAATTCTTTAAAATAATGTTTAAAAAAAAGAAAGATTTGGAGCAAGTGTGTGAGTAAATGATGACAGATTTCTTAATGTTATATGAACTATAATTTTACTATATAATATATCATATGTTAGCTGGTAAATTGTATGTTTTTTTTATCTGCATATTAAAAAGAACATTTTGCGGTTCCAACAACAGGCAGTGTGAATTGTTACACTATGTTAAAGTGATGTAACCCAGCAGCAACACAAACATGTCCACCTGTCGTCTTAAACCCATCACAGACCTTCTTAAGAGTTTATAAATAGTAATGCATACTGGGTTGATAAGCTTGCTGATGAAATGCCCCTATACCTTGTATATGCTCTTATAGTTTCCTTCACTACTTCAAATAATGTTCTTGTCATTAAGCCAAGAGAGATAACTAGGTTACATGACAATACCTGGATTGATGCTGTTTATATATAATCGCAGATGCCAATATAAAGATGTAATGTGCACATGAACTGCTACTTACTCAATCGATTTGTGTTGGGACAACATAAAGGAATTAAGTTAACTCATTAGTTTTTTAACCAGTTAAACTCTGCTGCTATTTTGTGATTTCCGCCTGGATTTTGCCTACCCAAATTTAAAAGCTTCCCAAATCCAAATGCAGAGTTGTAAATGCAAAAAGTTGGTATCGTTTTAAAGAAAACCCTTTGAATTTTCGTAAAACACTATTGAAAGTGTTTAAAATATCTGTATATGTTGTCTGTGTTATAATAAACACCTAAAAAAACAAACGCTGTTGATGATACTTTTATTTTAGTATGTAGATACTTATAACTGAAATTAAATATTGAGTAGGGGCAGGGCTTTCCTTTCATTCCCTTATAGCAAATTATTGGTAAAAGGAGTGTGGTTAAGAATATTGTGGCTGAAGCTGTCAAAGTTATGTCAGCAGAGAAAAATAGCCACTTCAAATTCATAAGCAAATAGTCAGATTTTGATTGAAGATTACCAAAACAAACTGTAACATAAGGGACAAGGACATCGGAGGTGAAGATCCACGTGTGGTAGAGAGTAGTCAGGCAGGCAGCAATCAAAACAGGTATAAAGTGGAGCATATAGACCAGGGGTGTCCAAACTCAGTCCTGAAGGGCCGATGTCCTGTAGATTTTAGCTCCAACTTGCCTCAAAACATCTGCAAAGATGTTTCTAGAAAGCCTAGTAAGAGCTTGATTAGCTAGCCCAGGTGTGTCTGATTGGGGTTGGAACTAAGCTTTGCAGGACACCGGCCCTCCAGGACCGAGTTTGGACATGCCTGATATCGACGATCCAAAGAACATGCTCAAAAGCAGGCAAGAGATCAGTGCAGGAGGCAAACAGGATAAACAATAAACAAAACACAGGAAGGCTAGACAGGAAATAACGCTTTGAAATGCTTACAGAAAACAAGACTCAGCAGTGTGTGTGTGTGTGTGTGTGTGTGTTTGTGTGTTTGTGTGTGTGTGTGTGTGTGTGTGTGTGTGTGTGTGTGTGTGTGTGTGTGTGTGTGTGAGTGTGTGAGTGTGTGAGTGTGTGTGTGTGTGTGTGTGTGTGTGTGTGTGTGTGTGTGTGTGTGTGTGTGTGTGTGTGTGTGTGTGTGTGTGCTTGAGAGGTGAATATATAGTCCAGATAATCAGTCCATCATGAGTTACCAGCTGTCTGTATCTGTCAGTGTTCGAATGACTGTCAGCTGTAGCAGGAGTGATTCTGGGATGTGTAGTTTATATAGTGGCAGAATTGTAGTCCTGATGATAATGCTTGTTTTCCCGCGATCTGCAACGCCTAGATCGCTGGTGATCGTGACACAAAAGTTTTTTTTTTTATGTTTATTTTTTTAAAGCTATAGATGATCTTCCATCCTTTGACTTGATGTGTTGTGACGGTGGTGCTCTGCGTGAGCTTTATGTAAATAATTTGGTTTTTGCTGCCATTTTTGTTTAATGTTTTTTCTGTTCTTTTTCTCCTTTTTTTGTGAGTTCATTGTTTAGATCATGCATTAATAGTT